TTATAGTCAAATGGTGACAGATTAATACTTAAAAAATAAAATAATACCGGTCTTATCGAAATATATTTCAGCTATAAAAACTTTTTTTTCTCAATAGAATGTATTACGTTTTGCATTCGAGCTCTTTATATATTACTTCAAACCTAATTTTTAGTGAATACTCGTCTTTGAGTAGAACGGCCTTCGTAGGACGAACCACTATCAGATCCAGCCCGATTTAGACGACACATTTACAGAGAGACTCACAGTAAAGCAACGTTCTATTTGCCATAAATCACGACATGCTTGACTGAGGGTAAAAATGCAACCTAAAACATATTTCGGCTTTATATAATCCCTAAATGCCTGGTATGCAGTAAAATAAAAATCAATCATTGTGTGAGCCTGTGGATTTGTCAAGTGTGGCAGACATAGTGAACCATAACCCGAGTTGAATGGCAGAAATGGTGAACAGAACTTGTATTATTCTCGGCGACAGAGATTTCGTCTTTAACTGGCATGTCGGACTTCGATTTGAGGGAAGTCGAGTACGCCGTCCCGTCAAAAGAGACCTGTATTTGTTGTCCTGCAAGAACTGTGTATGATATTGGCCTGGTTGAACGGAATCGAGGAGGGGCATACGGGTGTGCTAGTGCTCCATTTTGAGGTGCCCGTATGTCGAATAAAATCCGGTCGAGGGATTGGTGAATCCCCCACTATAAGTAGACCAACGTGGAGATAAGAGAGGTCTTCTGTCGGGGTGCATCGTCCTGTACGTACAGTTGTGATAGGAGGAACGAACGACGAAGCAGATACAGAGATGAGAACAACGATAAATGCTAAAAACCGGTGTAGTGGAAAGAAAAGCCGAATCTGAAATTACGTCCCAAAAATAAGTTGCTAACTTCTTTCGACCACATCAAAAAATAACGCATCTTCGAATTATTTTTGCAAGTATTAATCAGAATTGTTATCGGATATATTTTTCTAGCCCCAAAACATGAATTTTCAAAAAGCCGACGGTAAAATTTCTAAAGATAACTATTCGTTTCTTCAAAACAATCATCTCGTAAAACGGCTGCACCGGTAGGCACATATAGATAGCAATATGCCGTCCTAAGACCTTTACCGAAAGGCAAAAAGTTGGCAAGAATTCACATGATGTTTGTGATAGATTTTCACTGTAGGCCGCATTTGATGCGTTCAAAATAATTGTAGAAAAATCACGTGGTAGAGATAAACACTCAGTTGTGGAGCAAGCTAAGTGAATAATAATCCAACCTTTAGAAAGAGAGCTATTTATGTTGCCATGGAGCATCTCATTGTGCTAAAGTGGGATAGTCCATTGCTTGGGCTGTGATTGGCTGCTGGTACCTGAGTGGAGGTATTTCTATATAAATACCAGCTTGATTCATCAGTTACCTTGCAGGGTTTGTATTAAGTTACAACCTGCTTTATATTTGTCTGCCAGCTGGACGCTAGCTGGGACCTTTACACTGGTAAGTGCTGTTTATTATTGTTATTCTACAATAATTACATGCGTAAGTACAGTTAATGATAATTTTAGATAACGAATAAAGGCTAACCTTAGTAACAGACACCACAACGTCAAAAGACTTGGTGCAAATTAAAGTATTATTTAAACATGTAGACAGTCATTCCAGTTAAACAACCCATAATAAAACTTGAAGGAAATGCGCAGGGTAAAATATAAATTACTGATGCAAATGCCTGCAGTGGGGGTACATTTCACTGCCTACTTGAATGTCTAGGGAAAGTGGGTAACCGTCATATATCGATTCTATGACGGAGCGTGAAGTAAACGTCTTATTCCGCAACATAGTTAACCTCGACACATTAGCAATTCTCAGGTGAAGAGGTGAAAGAAAGAAATTGGATCACCAAAGCTACAAGAACATTTGGGAAGTTTCGTCAACGCCTATGGAAGGTATAAAAGTTGATAGGAAAAAATCGCTTTATAGACCGGCAGTTTTAATCAATATTGTGTACGGCACAGAACTGTGGACCCCATATAGTTCCCATATGTTTCCGCGCGATCTTTTGACAGTAGGTTTTCCAGTGCAGATCTTCACGCAAAATACAATTGGTGGAATTGATAATTTCCTGGTGCAGTCACAAACTAGCTGGGCTTGTTATTTCGTAAGCATGAATGACAAAATATTTAGGGTCCTCATGTATAGTCAGCTTAACAGTGGACAAAGGACTGTTGGAAGGCGGTACGTCAGTTATAAAGACAAGCTAAAAAGTAACCTATCAGCTGTCAAAGCGCTTCATGCTAAGTTCGAACAAGTTGCCGCGAATAGAAATAACTGAAGATATTTGTGCCAGGATGGTATCAGAATTTTCGAAATCAGTCGTTTTAACCGGTTAAGAGACGAATGACAACGGCGAAAAGCGTCATCAAATATTCTATTACTATGCCCAGAGATCCTCACTGTTGCACAATATGTGGACTTGTATGCAAGTCACTAGTGGGACTGAAGTGTCACATATGACTAGTATAAAAACTGAATGGAGTTATCAGATCTACATACGTCAAAATCGATGCAGAGTCCACACACACACACACATATATATATATATATATATATATATACACATGTGTGTGTGTGTCTGTGTACTCTTATGTATATACATATATATGTTGTGTGTGTGTGTGTGTGTGTGTGTGTGTGTATATATATATATGAGTAGTGTGTGTGTCTGTGTACTCTTATGTATATACATATATATATATGTATATGTGTGTGTACATATATATATATATATGTATATGTGTGTACTCATATATATATATATATATATGTATATGAAATTACTCATATATATATATATATATATATGTGTGTAATATATATATATATATATATATGTACAGTACTCATATATATATATATATATATATGTGTGTGTACTCATATATATATATATATATATATGTGTGTGTACTCATATATATATATATATATATATATATGTGTGTGTGAATTATATATATATATATATATATATATATGTGTGTGTTCCTATATATATATATATATATATATATATATGTATATATATATATATATATATATATATGTGTGTGAGATGCCATATATATATATATATATATATATGTGTGTGATCTTATATATATATATATATATATATATATATATATATACATATATATATATATATATATATATGTGTGTGTGTGTGTGAATACTCATATATATATATTATATGTGTGTGTGTCATTCATATATATATATATAATGTGAAAAAACTATATATATATATATATATATATATATATATATATATGTGGATGTGTTTTCATATATATATATATGTGTGTGTGTATATTATATATATATATATATATATATATATATGTGTGTGTGTTTTACATATATATATATATATATATATATATATGTGTGTGTGTGTGTGTGTCATTTATTATATGTGTGTGTGTGTGTGTGTGTGTGTGTGTGTGTGTGTGCTCTTATGGACAAATCGACAATTATTTTTAAGAGATTCGGAGGATGAATATTTTACATGAAAATTTCTCGGACATTCAGGCCAGTAAATGTTCTTTAATACTTTTTTTTTTTATGATAAACAGAACATTTAAATATTTTATCTATAATATGAATGTATAAACATAAAAATGTCTTAATTTATATATATATATATATATATATATATATATATATCAGTGAAGAAATTTGGGTGGGGATTTAGAGTAACCATATATAGTAATTCATCGAGCCCAGAATTTTCTTCACTTTTATATTCTTGCTTGACCCAACTGATCCACGCGAGGAGAAGCTTAGGGTCAAAAAGAAGACGTGACTCTTGTGGCACAGTTCCGAGGTTCTCCGCATATGTGGATGAGTGTCACTGCGGAACTGATTGAATAGCGGCGCTATGTCCAGTTTAGTTTCTGTCTACTTCGTCACCGAGGCCTGTGGTACAGTTGGTATGACGTTTGCGTCGTATCGAAATTGTCCGGGTTCGATTCTCGGTAGTGGATGCACACTGCTGATGGGTCCCAATTATTCCTGCCCTCAAAGATTGAATGCAACTCTGGCGAAGGGAGGCCATGTTGAATTCCAAGAAACTTTTTGTTTATTTTGATAAACACTGTCTGGTATTACTCTTTAATATCTTATAATTAAAGAACACACATTACTTTATAGCCAATCTTAGTCTACGCAGTTTTGCCCCGAACATAAGGATTCAATTTTCAGCCCACGATCTTTTATGGAAGAAAACGTACCTGGATGGAATATTGCTATAAATCTAAGGCCATTGAATTTCTCGTAGGTTTTGGCGTTGTCATTCGATATGGATTCGCGCATTGTGATTTGACAAAACGACATATTCCTTCGACATTATATTGCATGTCTTTCTTTATCCTCCTTCTTGGTTCATGTTTATTACGACCTTTCAAGTCTCTCTACTCTTTCATTGTATAGCATCCGCCTTAGTTTTTCGTGAGATCTTTTTGAAACTAGTTTCATTACGTGGCTACACTTTTGATTATCTCTGCCACAGAATAGCGACTACTGCAAATTCTCTGCCGTAGAATAAGGAGAATTACTGGCTTGGTGTAACATTGCCGTTCTTTATTGTTAACGCTTATGGTAGGATTATTTTTTGTAGCTTGTTCTTTCTAGCTCGCGTGATAATAACAGCTTAGAAGAGAGAACTAAAATGTCTTGAGAAACAAGTGAAGCCTCTAAAGGTAGGAAGCGGCAGAAAATACGAGCGAGTGCGAGGGGAAGAAAAAGGAAATAACGGAAACTATGGTTTCCGGAAATTGATTCGATACCGAAATGGAATGGGAGGGAGACAAAGGAGGGAGAGAGAGACAGACAGATCGAGAGACAAATGAGGAAAAGAGAGAGATACACACACAAAGGAGACACACACACACACACAAATGAGGAAGAGAGAGAGAGATACAGGAAGAGGAGAGCGAAAAAGGAAAGCGAGAGAGAAACAAAGGACGGAATGATGGGACGAAAGACAGTGGAAAAAATGATTTTGAAGAAAAAAGACATTTTAGGAAAGGAATAAAGAACGAACGAGAAAGCCAGAATAAAGAACGAAAAAAAGAGAAAGCCAGAATAAAGAACGAAAAAAAGAGAAAGCCAGAATAAAGAACGAAAAAAAGAGAAAGCCAGAATAAAGAACGAAAAAAAGAGAAAGCCAGAATAAAGAACGAAAAAAAGAGAAAGCCAGAATAAAGAACGAAAAAAAGAGAAAGCCAGAATAAAGAACGAAAAAAGAGAAAAAAAGAATAAAGAACGAAAAAAAAGAAAGCCAGAATAAAGAACGAAAAAAAGAAAAGCCAGAATAAAGAACGAAAAAAGAGAAAGAGAATAAAGAACGAAAAAAGAGAAAGCCAGAATAAAGAACGAAAAAAAGAAACAGAAAAAAACGAAAAAGAGAAAGCCAGAATAAAGAACGAAAAAAAGAGAAAGCCAGAATAAAGAACGAAAAAAAGAGAAAGCCAGAATAAAGAACGAAAAAAAGAGAAAGCCAGAATAAAGAACGAAAAAGAAAGCCAGAATAAAGAACGAAAAAGAAAGCCAGAATAAAGGAAACTAGAGTAGAAGGTAGAAAGACGGGAATGGAAGAAATCTTACGAATGGATTCAGGGAGATAAATATGAATTGAAAAGGATGTACACGGGTAAGAAAGAAATTGAATGATAAAGTCTTTATGCACTGAGTTTTAAAAGAAGAAACAACGCATGATTGGTCGACAGATGAAAGAATTAAACACCGCAAGAGAGTAAAAACATTCAAATAAATGAGATGAATAATAGTGAAACTGATGAAAGACATTCATATAAAGAAAAATAAAAAAAAAATCTAAATTTATTTGTATCTCTTTCTAATATTGACCTTTAAGCTTTCCTTATATATCTGAACCTATAGATCCGAAAAAAATTCATCTGTCTCTATAGAATTCATACAAATCAGTTTATCTAACGCTGTCATGAGGAGGACTGTGCCAACAACGTAGGTAATCATAGATGAAATAATAATGATTTGGGGGAATAAATAAACAAACATCATCTTCCAAGTTTTCTAAGAAACTGGACTAAAGATAAATATTTCCAAAACAGAAACAATGATCAGGAACTAGATTGAAAGCAATGACTGAACATACGCTGAATCCATAGCAAATTTTGAAGATTTGGAATTAGTAAATTCTAAACACTTCAAATACATCTCTTCACAGGGATCAGATGTAACTAATATAGTGTATTAGATGACAAAAACAGTATAGATTTGTCAAGGCCACCGTAACAAAAAATGTGATATTTATCATCAGAATATTAGAGGGCAATACGGATGCAGAAGGATGGGCCCTTTTGTTTTCATACATTACGCAAAAGCATTTGACGAGGTAAGACACAAGGATTTATTTGACCTGCTAGGAAAACTAGATCTGTTTGGAAAAGATATTAAAATAATCCAGAACTTATAGTGAGAGCAAACAGTCCGCATACGGACAGAAAATAAATGGGGCAAGAATACCGAAATAGTAACGGGCGTGCGACAAGGATGCATCTTCTCACCAGATTTATTAGCAGTCGGCGTAATTTTAATGTAAGATACGCAGATGACTGTGTTAATATTCGACTCTTAAAGGAAAGCGCAGGACGTCCGAGACAGGGAGACGGAATGCTAGAAAAAAGGATTAACCCGCAACTGCTCGAAGACAGAATTTATGACCATCAGCAAAAGAAAAGTTGCGAGTTACGAAAAGGATATATAAACATCAAGCTGGTGCGGAAGTTTAAACCCCTGAAAGGGTTTAAAAACTGAATGGAAAATGCGACCCAGAGATCCGAACACGCATTGGACAAGCAAAAGAAGGACTGACATCTACGTCGCCCCCTTTTACTTTTGAAATAGTTAAATGTAACTGCCATTTCTACTCCAAAAGTATCTTTTCTAGCACTTCCATCACGTGGAACTACCTTCCGTTTACTTGATACCCTGATATCTTAACAACTTTAAATCCAACGTCACTTGCCATTTTCTATCTTCTTGAATCCTGTTCATCTTTTATTCTTTATTCAATTCCCCATACAGTATTTTCTTGTATTTTCATTCTCTGTAACCCTGTGCATGCTAGTGGCATTCCCGCCTTTTTGGGGTGGAAGGATTTTAAAAAGTTCCCAAAGCTAAGCATGGTGCAGAGAAATGGAAAAATCGTAAGGAAAAAAATAAAAGAAAGATATATTGGATTGTTATGCGATAGCCAACCTCTTAAATCTCAGTGAATGTTGAAAAATCTCCCCAAGGATGAGCAAAATACGAGAAGCAGCAGAAATGTGGTTCTGCAGAAGGATTTTGAAAATTCAATGAGAGGAGCGAGTAAGCAGGAAGGAAATCTTAAAGAAAATGACAGAAAAAAAAACAAAACAAAAAAACACTTACATTCAGAAAAAGACAGCTGAATTTTTGGACTCATATTGAGAGAGGAAGGCTTAGAAAATTTACCCCTCACGAAGTATATCGAGAGAAAGAGATAAACGGAAGGGCAACGAGGCACGTTTTTGACGAACTTGAAGCTGCTGGCTTGGGACTTAGCAAAGAGATGAAAATTGCTAAGTACCACACAAAATAGGTGACGAAAAAGTGACGCATCACATAGAAAACAAAAAGGAGAAGTGGACCCAACACTGTCAAAATTTACCTGAGAAATCTAGTCATATTCATCAATAATCTCATCAGATCGAAAATTTCATATGGATGATATGCACGGTCCTAAACTCGTTCAGAAATATCAAAATACTCCGGTTTCTAAGATCACTAATTAAAATGGCTTTTAGCTTGTGGATCTTAGCGAAGACAACACTTCTTCGAACATTAAGAACTGACGCTACACAATCACAAACAAATGACTGTATTAGATATTAGTGTAGGGATACAAAAGGTGATTTTCTCCCTTTTGTTGAGATAGTCACGGGGATCACGTGACGGCCGGTATGTGATTTCACTGGATAGTGGCGAAGGCCAGTTGCCATAAAGGTAGAGCCCGGGATAGAAAGATGTCTCTAAACAAGAGGGGTAGGGTCTTACAGGAAAATACATGGTCTCAACAGGTTCATAGAGAAACCGGTGTTAGTCTCGTTTTCCCTTGAGGAAACATTACAATTAAGGTTTCCTTTTTTTATCATTGTTATTGCATATGTTATAATTTATCTGCGTGAGACATGTGTAAATATTTATATATAGTTTTGTGTACATCTTAGTGGTATAAAGACCTCTGAGAACAAAGCACTTTTGTCATTTGTTTACTTCAGAAAGTCCGTGGAAAACGGTGTTGTTATATCATGCCTATAATAATAATGCCCATAATGGGGAAAATATAAATAAGAATATAAACCTTTATTTCATAGCTCTATCTTTCTCTCTCATTATATTGGAGAATCCGACATGATCCAAACACGCAAGGAATTTCAGCAGACGCGAAAATGTATATCAGAAATAATTCAAAGACAAGATAATGATATAGCCAAGATGTTGATGTTGCACATTAGTTCAAATAAAATGTTAGGAAGGAAACTCCTATCAATACTGGAAAGAGAGATACGGGACTTCATAAAAAAAAAAAAAAAAAAACTATTTTCCTGAAGAATTGATTTAAACGAAATATTTTATAAATTTCGACCGATAGCAGCACTGGTTGCACGGCCAATGAACGCCGAATGTTTCCTTATTAAGAAACAACTAATATTACTACTACTCAACTATATAAACCTTTTTATATCTACTTCACCACTAATTAGGTCTTAGATATACTGGAATATTCGACTTATTCCAGCGGCCCAAAGCGGCAGTATTATCTTTGGTAGTACTAAAAGAAAACGGACAGGTCAGACTATATGGATCAGATTAAATGAGAATCACAAGACAAATTAGAGTATGGTTGCTGTGTTAATTCGACATAGCAGTCTTTCACAATGTATTTACGACCAACGATAAATCGCGCACGACGCTGGAAATGCCAAATATTTGGGTTCATCTATAACCCAAAGAGAATTACTGTCGAAAGAATGAAGGAAAAGAAAGGAAAAAGTAATAAAAATGCATAGCTTCTATACTCGACTAATTGTCGAGGTCTATAATTTACCTTGGCAGTAATGAGGAAAAACGCACTATGTTTAGACGTCATGAAATTATTCTGCTCAGTTTTAGGAATTCCAACGAATATCAAACTAATCCAGTCATTTAACTAATATTAAATTTTTCTTCCAATTTCTGGGCTGAGGAATTATTATTAGTCAGAATTTTTATATTCGGAATATTCTCCTTATCTTCGTTGTTTTTATAACAACGTTCTGGCCGCTGTTCCCTCCGGCTTTCCTCACGTGTATATCGATCTGGATAATCTATAGGAAATTCCGAATTCAACCCTTTCTTTAATCAAATTGGGTAGGCTGCTCTCTTTCCACTGTCTATGTCTAGGAATATCATCTAGTTCTTATTTTTTTACTTACTTATGTTCAGTTGTTGCTTGTCCATTTCTCGTGGAAATTGGCGATAAATAATTAATTTTGCATATTTTACACCTATGTTGGTTTTAGAATATATATTCCCAGCAGAAATAGTGGGCAGTGAGTATATGTAAGTGTAAACAGGAGACCAGTCTATATATATATATATAATTTCACCATATGCAAGACCGTAATGCTACTAGTACGCAGGGGGGTTACAGGGAGTGAAAGTGGACTAGAAGAGTGAGAATAGGGGGGTCAAGAAAGGACAAACGATGAACAGGGTTCAAGAAGACAGAAGATGTCGATTGACGTATTTAATTTTTTTGAGATTATGGTTATCAGAAAAGCATGTAAACGGCAAGGAGTGCCACGGCTAGAAAGTGTGAGAGAAGAAACCATTGAAGTAGAAGTCGCGGTTGTATTTAGTTATTTCAAATGTAAAATAGTGGGACCTAGCTTGCAATCTAGTAGCACGCTTAAATTCATGCAGTCTAGACAGCAGGGAAAAAGCTCGTCAGAACAGTTGGCATGAAAATATTTATAGAAAATACACAGGGATAACATCTCTATGTATGTATGCGCCAGTTTATGTATGTTCCTTGCTGGGTTAAAGAGCCACATTCGTTCAGGACATCAGTAGATATTCTCAAAAAGATGTAATGACCGTGCTCGGACACGAGTTGGCAAAAACTATATATATATATATATATATATATATATATATGTGTGTGGATTCTCCCGTCGTATTCGACATATGAGAGGCAAGCAACTTGGTGTCTACGCTATCGGTCCCTAGCAACTAACACATATGACTGGATTATTGTGGTGAAGGATTTGTGCAGAAATATACACAATTTTTGAAGGGCCGAATGCAGAGGCCTGGTGCAGTACGTGCGATAAAGTTCCCAAACAACCCATTGCAGGTTTTGAATTCAAAGTTGTCCTCCTCCTAGACTAGTGGTCATCAAAGGTTATAGAACCTAGTCTGTCCTGCGATTTACCCTTAGCTGGAGGGTAAGAGGATGATTAATACCTTTCCCAAGGCTATTAACACGGAAGTGAATGTAATTGATTCCACTGGAATTCGAACTCTGCTCTCCGATTCTTCAATCCGAGCCGCTATCCACTACTATATATATATATTTGGGCAAAAATCTTTCTTTCAGAGATCTTTCGCTGAATATGACGGACAACCAAAATTTGAAGTTTTATTTATTTTTTACTTATATTCTTACATTTTCCCGTTCATGAACAAGAAAAGCTTCAAAACCCATGTACAACAGTTGAATCCCGTTGAAAGTGAAGATTACTGTAAAAGGAGAGTATAAGTGAAGCAATACGAGAGAGAAGAAAAAAAGCCGAACAGGAATGCACCAGATAAAAAAAAAAGATCAGGCGAGAATCAAAAACGAAAGAAAACCTATAAGCAAAATTAAAAGAAAATCTAGATTTTATATTGGCTAAAGTGATGAATAGGAGAAAGTTGGAAAATTGAAAGCAGAAAGTGAATCTATTTGTGAATATTATAGATAAGTGGAAAGTAAGTGACAGTGAGAAATGTAAGCGGTAAAAGAACGAAGACTAAAACAAAAGTCAAAGAGATAGAAAAAAAAGCAATCAAGTAAAAACGATTAGATAAAAAAAAAATGGAGGTGAGAAATATGACAAAATAAAGGCGAAAAGAATTTCGATGCGAACAATCATAAGGATGCAGATCGAAAATCTGAAGGCATTTTTGCTAGCGGAAAGATGTTCAATTCACTTATTAGCCACGCGTTACGCTTTGAATGTTTGTAATATGCCGATTAGATTTCAGTCGCTTTAGCAACAAAAGTAGATTTTCGGGATTATTTTGAGATATTACGTCCGTTTATCTCAATCATAACTCTACCCTGTTATTTTATCGAGATTCCTAACCTGATTTCAACAAAAGGCATGCATATCGGAACTAAAGACCTAACTATTTTAACAGGGTAATACAGTCACTATAAAATTATTCTTATTTTCTGTCGAATTATGACAAGTTAAAGGCGTTCGTTTGTTTTTTGTTTTTTAATAAATATTCTATAATGTTTCATCTGCTGTCATTTTTTGCTGCTGCAAATATAATAAATAGCAAGTTCTATCTTTCCGTCTGTGTGTATGAAAACTAACTTGGGCCACACTTGCACTATATAGGTACAACATACCTTTTAGGAATCAGGATGATCCCGGCATTAAAATGCTACGCTTCATCTGGTGCTTGAACATCCAGAATTGAGATTTATATCCGGATGAGGAGGTAATTGTTAAAAATTCAAAATTTGAAATAACTGAAAAAAAATTAGTGATTTTAAAAGACTTTAATTTATATTGAATTTAAAGTAAGAAAAAAAAATTTGTGGATGTAAAAAAAATGTTTTAAATTCAGTTTAAAATATCTCAACAATTTGTGAATTCAGGAAAAACAGATTTTATTTTTTTTAAGCATGCCAAGGATTCAGAGTTAAAGTGAGAGGTTTTGTGACTTGACGTTTTGAAGTTCCGAATTATTTATGATTTAAAAAACTTAATTTTCGGCCTGAATTGCAATTTCGGAACAAATCGGTCTTTTGGCCGGAATTAGTCTTATAGTCCGAACCAGACTTTGATGTTCCATTGAATGAATTGAGGAATGCAAAGTTATTAGGTTGGTGCAAAAATAATGACGTAATAATGTGGTTTTTTGACCTTAGAAAATACGTCAAAAAACGACATTATTACGTCATTATTTTTGCACCAACCTAATATTTCTTCAAAACTAACAATGCTGTTTTCTAAACTGGACGAAAGATTCTATTAGTTTTGGGCCACAGTTCTAATTAGCGCTCCACAGGAGCTAGTTTAAAAGTCTACAGTGAGTGTGGCTTTTAAGCTAATAATTAATAATTTCCAGCCCGTTCTCAGTTAAATATAAATACCAGATAATTCTATGAAGTTAATTTTAAACAGCTGAATTAGCAGGACCTCCCCTACTTACAGAAACATCCTAAGCAGTGAAACAAGCGATTGTCTGAATGTAAGTTCTCGAGAATAAATTTGCATGTGGAAGAACTTCCCATACAACATCCAACATTAGGACAAGTATTTTCCTGCAGTGAAATCGTAAATTAATTTTATTCTCCAACGAAGAATTACTTTTCTAATCCATTGTCTCCTGGAAAAGAATCGATCAATTTTTCATCACTCTCAGTTTCTGCAGCATTTGCCATTACTATGTACCACGTCCTCCCCAGTCGGTTTCGACTCTCCACCACATCCTGTTTTTGTAACTCAAAGTAACAGTTCATTCTTCAATAGATATTTGTCCTTGTTCTGCCATCTATTCGCCCAAACTCGTTAAGTCGATTACACACTGTTTCCTGTTTCTCCTGCCTTCATGTATATACTGTGAGTATTAGATTCTCCAGGCCCTCTTTCCTCATTATGTGACTTAGACGTTTACGCTATCGCTTACTGAATGTTAGCAAGAGTTATTTTTGTTTTAAAACTCCCTCGTCACGTGTTCTGCCCATGGTATTATCAGCATTCGTAGAGAGAATCATATCTATGTCGAAGAAAATATTTTTAAAATCGAACCCATTAACGAAGAAGGTGTTGAGAAATACGGAATCTTTATGTACGCGAAGGACACGGTTGGATTTTAAGTAGATCCGATAGAAATCAGGATTTATCAAATCAGGCTATGATCACCCAATTTATGATGGAAGCGGGTCCAGTCCACGGTCAGTACTTAGACGGAGGACCACTGCTACAGCCAACTACAACAGCAAATGCGATTCGTTTTTAAATTAAGTAAAAAGGGTTGATAATCTGTGAAAAAAAAAAAATCAATCATTTTTTTAATCTAATAAAAAAAATTATTTTATGTTTTGTAGCAGTTTTTTTTTTTTAAATATTTTTCATTCTGTATTTTAAAATGTCATCGAAATGATTTAAAAAAAAAAATATTACTGTCTAAAATAATTAGGAGCAGGCCCGTTATCTCTCGATAATTAGTTTCACATTTTTATTATCAAATACAAACACGTATGCACGCATACATGTGCACAAGCAGATAGAGAGAGAGAGGAGAAGAAGATAAAGAAGAAATAGAAAGAGTTTATCAATTACACATGTTTCGCTTTCATTAAAGCTTCATCAGAGAATCAGGTATGGAGAAAAAAAAAGAATTTCTGGTATTTTTGCTTTTGCGTTGTTCGGTTTTCTTTAGTCAATCAGGTTTCTCGTGCAGTCGACTTTTTAAACCAACGTTTGTCTAATTTGTGGCGTAAAGATTCAAGTAGAAAAGACGCAGCCATCCAAATTTAAGAAATTAACGGATTCCAAGCCTACAGGAGAAACGGTAAATCCGACATAGACGAATTAAAAATTACACACTTGCATACATTATGCAATATTTATCAGAATAACTTCTTTATCTCCATAACTCATTCTATGATGAAGCTTTAATAATAGTAAAACATTAAATTGATAAACTTTTTTTTTTACTATCATATCACAGAAACAAACAATTATATTTATATAAACGCTCTGCCATTGCATCATTGAATTGTTTTAATTTTCCAATGTACT